GAAATCATCTGCCCCACAAGTAGGGGGAGGTTGTGGGATGGGGGTATACTGGGGTTTTTGGTGGTGGAGAAAGGGCACTAGTGAAGGGACAGGTGTTTCATTTATGACCATGACTTAAACCCGAAAGCTTTGTAGCTGCTCTCACGGTGATTCAATAAATAAAATTATAAAAAGGTAAAGGTAAAGGCCCTCCCGTTGATCTTCGATTTGCTCAAGCGGGCCCAGTAACGTCTCCATTGGAGACTTTGTTGTTACTGTGTTTGGCATATCGATATGCCAAAATTATAAAAAGGAAAAATAAAAAAGTAAGGCAGAATTCATGCCCAATTCAATCAGCCTAATCAATTGCTGAATAAATAGCAATACTCTACATAAAATAAATAAATAAAATAAAAGGACATTCCTTTTATATAGTTGCACAATTATTGTTATAATTATTACTTTAAACTACTTGACAGTGAGTTTACACCATGTGTTCTTTTTTTTATTTTTATTTTTATGTAAGAGTACTGCTATTTATTCAGCCACTGATTCGCTGATTGAATTGGGCATGAACTCCACCTTAATTTTTTTTCATTTTTTATAATTCTATTTATTGAATCACCGTGAGAGCAGATACAAAGCTTCCGGGTTTAAGTCTCAGTCATACAATGAAACACCCGTTCCTTCACCAGTGCCCATTATCCACCACCAAAAACCCCAGTATACCCCCATCCCACACCCTTCCCCTACCTGTGGGGCAGATGATTTCCACATTACTCTCTCTCTCCACTTTGATCACATTCAATATTTTGACATCAGACCCACCATTATTTGGAAATTTACCCCAACAATCAGATCTGCTGAAAAGGCAACAGTAGACAATTTGTTCTCTATTGCTGGTTATGAATAACATTTGATGTCGCGAGGCTGCAGGAGTAGCCTCATGAGTTTAAAATTCCGAAATTTTAGCACTTAAATCTGGAGGGATTTCTGCCAAAACCTGCTGGGTTCCGAGATTTGTTCCTGAGTCTTTGGGATCATGGCCGTTAAGCAGCTTGATCAGGAGCCAGAAAGGCCATTCATGGGCAACAACTTGGGATACCATTGGGGTGGGGAGGAAAGGGCTGGCTCCACCCCCATCCCGTGAGGCCCCACATGTCTCATCACTGAGGACCCAAACCTGACTGTCCAATGGCCTCTGGAGGATGGTAGCCACCAAGCCGCCTAGGGGGAATAGGCGGAGGGACAGCACCATTTCCCCCCTGGGGTGGCCCAGCGACAGTAACCTGCTGCAGCGTCCAGACATATTTCTGGCAAAAGCCACTGGGTTTTGAGATTTGTTTCCGAGTCTCTTGGATCATGGCCATTAAGCAGCTTGATCAGGAGCCTGAGAGGCCATTTGTGGGCGGCAACTCAGGGTCTCCTTGAGGTGGGGAGAAAAGGGCCAGCTCCACCCCCATCCCTGAGGCCCCGTACACCATGTGTTCTTGCTTTATACTTACAGTGTGACTTAGCATATCTTCTCCTTCATGAACTTCTACAGTTTCACCTGACCAAAGGGGTTTTTTGTTTGTTTGTTTGGGTATTGTGATTTTTTGTTTGTTTGGAGGCCATGGATGGCCAAAAATAAATTAAAAAATAAATAAATAAAACCCACTACCCAAACAAACAAACTGGATTCCAGAACTGGATTCCATGGGATATCAAAAGAACACCTGGTTGCCCACCTACGAGATGGTTGGACTTCTTCATTAAGACCCTGAGTGAATGGTTTGATGCTCTTCATGTTCCTGGAGCAAGTAGACGCCATTGGGCTACACTAGCACACAACAGGGATGAATGGAGATGTTACTGGCACCCTCTCGAGCAAACCAATGAACAACAGGATGACAAGTGACGAGTGATTTTGTTTGAAGGACATACACAGTGCTACCTGAGTGTAACTACTCTCTTCTTAGTGCGTGGGGATCAGTCCAGCAGTTGGAGAACACTCCCATAGTTGGAGATGACTCCCATAGTTAGAGATCACACCCATGTAGAATTAGGGATCAAACCCAGAGCAAGGCATACACTCTTGTCCATTGAGCGATCTCCCTAGCCCCTAACAGTTTTACCCAAAGTTTGTTCTTTTTCCTCCAGCACAATGGGAATATATATATATGAATATATATATGTATCCTTAAGATCTCATTCTTTACATATTAGAAAGGTTTTTCTCTACAAATTCATTTACTTTAAAGTGTTTTCTGGGGCTGGAGTGATAGCACAGCGGGTAGGGTGTTTGCCTTGCATGTGGCCGACCCCGGGTTTGATTCCCAGCATCCCATATGGTCCCCTGAGCACCACCAGGAGTAATTCCTGAGTGCAGAGCCAGAAATAACCCCTGTGCATCTCCAGGTGTGACCCAAAAAGCAAAATAAATAAATAAATAGTTTTCTGAAAGTGACTTTTTCTTATATTAAATTCAAAGATCTTAGAAGTGAAAAGAAAGCAAGTTCTCCAATTCAGATCTAACCCTTTGCCTGCAGGAAGATATACTATTCTCACTTAATAGTAGTACAGGATCTAGGCATGTAGCTCAGTAATAGATCACTTATCCTGTATGAGTCATGCCATGGATTTGATCCTTGCCATTGCAAAACAACAAACCAAAAAATCCACAAGGCCTGTGTGTGTATATGTATGTGTGTGTGTGTGTGTGTGTGTGTGTGTAGCAGGGGGGTGGGGGGGTGCCAAAGGGGGAAGGAGTGTTAGTTGGTCAACAAAAAAATTGGTATTTCTGTGAAAAAATTATCTGTGCTTAGAGTCAAATCTATAGCAGTTAAGTCATGTCAATAAAACCCATTGATGGTGTTGGGATAATGAATCGAAGGAGTGGAATGCATATAAAGTCCAATTTCAATCTCCAGCAGTGCTAGAACCAAGGGTGACCCCCCCCCCCCAGGACAAGCAACAAATCCTCAAGCTGGCAGCACTAGCCAAGTACTTCTGATATTGGTCCTAACACTGGTAGAGGGACACATACACACACACACACACTCACAAAATATGCAGTAATAAAAATTATGCACTCATGGACCTCAGAAAACAATGTTCTAGTCATTTAATGTTAAGTGAAAAAAATCACCCCAAAATTTGTAACCTAAGCTAACTATCTCTTTTGCTCACAACTCTGTTCTCTGGGCAGAGTTCTGTATGGTCATCTCACCTATATTCACTCCATTCTAGCTGAGATTCAAATTATAATCATCTGAGAGCTTATTCAAATCAGACATTTGGAAGAACAGTTGGAGTCCCCAGAGCTCCTAATGTGACTCTTTCTCTCTCTGAGTGACTGTTCCACACAGACCTAACATCTTGATGTTGCAGAGTAGCTACACTTCTACAGAACAGCTCAGGACTCACAGACACATGGCTTAAGAGCGCAGAGGAAAGAGAAAGGTTTAACCAAGGTTTAACCTGCATCATTTATACAGTTACGATACATTTATGATACAGCTTAAGTCCTGTTGCATCACTTGGGCCCTACTCTCTCAGTCCAGGCAGTTACAAAGACCTACCCATATTTAAGAAGCAAGAGCAGAGATTCCACCTCTTAATTGAAGAATATCAACATCATATTGTAAAGAAAACATGGAAACACTACCTGCCACAACCAAGTGGCTGAATTAATAAACCATTGATAAACTTTAAGAAAATTTTGAAAGAGATCATCTATTTGTGATTAATAAAACTCATTCTGCAAAACACACTTCAGATGTACCTTAATTTTGAAATCCTCTGATGTCCCTCCAGCTTTTATTGTAATTCTATTGTAATTCTTATTTTTTGGTTTTTGGGCCATATCAAGTGGTGCTTAGGATTCTTTCCCAGCAGATTATGTGAGTGCCAGAGGTAGAACCTGGGGCTCATGCTTGCAGAACATTCACACCAACTCTCTGTAACTATTTTTAGAACTTTATTATAATTAGGGAGAACTTTATTGTAATTAGGGAGTTATTGTTAGTCTGTGAGAGAAAAAAAAATTTTCTGATCAATCGAAATTATAGGAAACAGAAAGAGTCAGATGGGGGAAGACACTTCTAAGGAAGCCATAAGTGAGACTTTGCACAGAAAAAAAAAGAAAGAAAGCAGGTGGGGACGAGGGATTGGAGAGAAAACCATCGGCAATTCAGAAAAAACTCAAACGATGCCAAAAAAAAAAAGTTTTCCTGCCACATTACAGGTATTGGCAGTAAAATGTTTTCCTGCCACATTACAGTTATTAGCAGTAGGTGTCAAAGTTTACAGATGAAGTTCCTGAGAGGACAGCAGTGGTTATCCAACATCCCTGGGATCAGAATGAATGCCCCAAGAATCTGTTGAAACACCTGCCAGAGTTCCTGATTCAGCAGGTCTGGGTAGGGCCTGAAAAATCTTAATTTCTCTGGGTTCCCAGATGATGTAGGTGGTGGTCTGTTACAAGGTTTTCGGGACCAATAAAGGGGTTTTGTTTTATTCACATACATATTTAGGATGTTACAATAGTTATGAAGTTTGTGGTGTCGATATACAAAATTATGCACCGCACCTATGTGTCCATAACCCTCCCTCAGCTCAGTGATCTTATCACCTTTAGAACTGGAAATTGTGACCTTTGCAAGCTCTGTCCAAAAACTTTTTTGAAAGAAGAAATCAGAAGGATCGTGAGAGCAAAGGATGTACAAGAGGTGGACATGTCTTGACTTTAAACGTCTGTGTTTATGCTGGCGCACTACCGGCCAGAGTGAGCTCGGGCGAGCCAGCCACACCCTCCCGGGCGCCTCAAAGGCCGAGCGCTCCCGAGCTGCGTCCGCCGGGACTAGCTGCCAGGTCCCGCGGGGTGGGCGGAGCAAACCCTACCCTCCAATCGAGAGGCTGCAGCATGCGAGGGAAGGCGTGTACCGGGCAATGATTGGCTAACTCGGCCGTGCGCGGTGACGTCGTTCCTGGGCGGGTCGTTTCTGGGAGGAGCGCGGGAGCTGTGAAGCGGGAATTGTCTCGGGTTTGTGGTTCCGAGGTACGGCGCGCGTTGGGGCGTCCGGGCTGCTTTCCCCAGCCGCTGTGCAGGCCGCCCGCTGCCTCAGTGACCTGAGTGACCGTCTGCCGGCCAGGTGTCAGGTGAGCGGACGGTGCCGGGGCCCGCGACGGGGCGGAGCGGAAGTTCTGGCTCCTGAGATGCGCAGGCCGGCCCCGCGGCCCCGCAGCCCCTCAGCTTCTCAGCTTTGGGCCGGCCAAGGTTCCCCACAGCCCCTCAGCTTTGGGATGGCCCCGCGCCCCCGCAGCCCCTCAGCTTCGGGTCTTACGGGCCCCCGCAGTCCCTCGGCTTTGGTCGGTCCACGCCCCCCTCCCCCGCAACCCCTCAGCTTTGGGCCTTATGGGCCGGCCTGGGCCCCTCGCAGCCTCTCAGCTTTGGGTCGACCCGAGCCCCCGCAGTCCCTCAGCTTTGGGTCGGTCCCGCAGTCCATCCTCAGCTTTGGGCCCAGGCCCCTCCCCAGAGCCCTTCAGCTTCGGGCCTCACGGGCCCCCCAGCTCCTCAGCTTTGGTCGGTCCACGCCCCCCTCAGTTCCTCAGCTTTGGGTCGGCCCGGGCCCCGCAGCCCCTCTCAGCTTTGGGCCTCAGGACGAAGCCTGGCGCTGATCAGTGCTCCCAACAGTTTAGGTGCCTGTGCTGAGTTGCATCCTGTACTGAGCACAGGCACTGCAAAAGCCATGCCGGCCGGGTCCGGAGAAGGGCCAGGCTCGGAGCTCACGGGGCTGTTCATTTCAACTGAAACAGACACGGCTCCTGAAGAAAGGGCCACAGCTGGCAGGACTAAAGGTGTGTCTTACAGTGTGAAAGATGGTCAGCTTGAGGTGTGCAACGGTGACCATTCCGAACTGGGACATGGAAGTATATGATTCCCGAGCCGTGGCGACTGAGCCTCTTGGCCCTTCTGTAAACTTTTTTTTTTTTTTTTTTTTTTTGCTTTTTGGGTCACACCTGGCGATGCACAGGGGTTACTCCTGGCTCTGCACTCAGGAATTACCCCTGGCGGTGCTCAGAGGACCATATGGGATGCCGGGAATCGAACTCGGGTCGTCCGCGTGCAAGGCAAACGCCCTACCCGCAGTGCTATCACTCCAGCCCCTCTGTAAACCTTTCACTTCTCAGATTCATGGTTGCCTCCTCTTACAGACAAACGGAGAACACGTGGCAAGGGTTGGTTTCTCTGTTCTCATTGTTTTCTTGGTTTCAGAGAAGATGACAGAGGAACTGGAGCTGCTGGAGCAGGACTCTGATGGGAGCAGTGAAGAAGTGGTCCTGACCCCTGCAGAGCTCATTGAAAAGCTGGAGCAGGTAAGCACCCCCAACAGAGTCCTCTTGCTCCAGCCTTTTTCTTTAGTCCAGTTGTGGAAATTTCAGAAAAGGAAGAAATAAAATTCAAGGCCCATTTCAAGAGATGAGGGACTGGCTCTTATCGGCTTGTCAAAACTAGGAAGTAAGGATACAGCCTCTCTAAGAAAACTCCTGTTGCCAAGCGAAAATCCTGTGGAAGTAGTAAGGGGCTTAGAGCAGGTCACAGAGCAAGGATCTACTTAATATTTGCAGGCACTGCGGAGATGTTCTAAGTGGAGATTAGTAAGGAACTATGCCTTAGTTCCTTGTGGTGTCTGCTATTTCCCTGTAGAATTTTTTGGGTTAACAAGAAAATCCTTTCTCGTATAAACTGTTCTCTTTATTTCCATTGCTTTTCTAAAATCGTTTCTGTGTATTTCTCCTTTTAGTCATATGAAGTAAGTATGGTGTATTGATATTTACTATGTGTATTTATTATTGAGTATTTACAATGTGTCTGTAACCATGTTATCTTCTTTTTTTCTGTTTTCCTTGTTTTTGGGCCATACCCAGTGATGCTCAGGGGTTACTCCTGGTGGTGCTCAGAAGACCATATGGGATGTTGGAACCTGTGTCAACTGCATGCAGGGCAAACACCCTACCCACTGTACTATCTCGCTTACCCCTGTGTTCTTTTCTATTACTATCTCATGAAGCTGTAGGTTCATGAGAATATTTGCTCAGTTCAGAATATCTGAATTAAATTCATCCATGCCGACTATTGTGTTATTTTAGATAAATTATATATTTTGTTTTGAGCAATCCATGGAGTTAATAATGGTGGCTGCCTCAAAGGATCTAAAGATTAAATGAGAGCTTATCGTCTTGTCTAACACATGAAAAACACTCTCTGAATATTAGCTAAAAATAGTAATAACTACTACAACAACCCAGTTAAGCAGGTATTATACTTATCCCCATTTCACAGATGAGGAAGTAAAAGATTAGAGATCAGAATTACACAGTAGCAGGAGACCCCAAATTTGAACTAGTTCATTAACTCCAGATCAAAATCACACAGTAGCTGGTGATGTCAGCTAGCTCTTTATTTTTTTTAATGTAGGAGTACTGCTATGTATTCAGCCATTGATTAAGCTGATAGAATTGGGAATGAACTCCACATTACTTGTTTTTAAAAATTTTTAATTGGATATCCAAGAGATCACTGTCACTGTCCTCCCGTTGTTCATCAATTTGCTCAAGCAGGCCCAGTAACGTCTCCATTGGAGACTTTGTTGTTACTGTGTCTGGCATATCGGATACGTCACGGGGAGCTTGCCAGGCTCTGCCGTGCGGGCGAGATACTCTTGGTTGCTTGCCAGGCTCTCCGAGAGGGGCGGAGGAATCGAACTTGGGTCGGCCATGTTGGCTGCGTGCAAGGCAAACGCCCTACCGCTGTGCTATCGCTCCAGCCCATCCGAGAGATAGACCATTACAAAGCTGTTCATAATAGGGTTTCAATCATACAATGATCCAGCACACATCCCTCCACCAGTGTATATTTCCTACCACCAATGTCCACTGTTTCCCCATCACCATTCCCCAATTCCCTACCCCCTACCCCCAGCCTCCCTCTATGGGAGGCACTTTCCTTCTTGCTTTCTCTCTCCTTTTTCTGTTGTGCATTATGGTTTGCAATGCAGGTGCTAAGAGGTCATGGTATTTGTTCAGGGAATTTGGTATTTTTATCAGGATGGTAAGGCTGGAAGAGCTTTTCAGTTGAGTGGCAGCTTTGGGTTATGGATGTGACTGCCAAGGCTTCCAGAAGTACAAGAAGGTGGGAGGAGGTAGCCCATCCCAATCCCAAGAAATCCTGGAGAGTTTAGTCACAAAACCTGCACACCAGAATTTTCAGCAGATGTCTTGGTGAGGTCCATCCCGAGATGATGGAGTCAGGCCGGGGGTATGGCAGCAATTTTGGATTGTGGAAGCAAGTAGCTGCCAAGGGCTCTCCTTGGTTGGGCACAGGCCAACCCAATCCCCTCTGATTTACCCCAGTCTGTTCAGCCATGGGCGGATCCGAGCTTAACTGTGGCTTTTGATCTCTTTCGAGATTTATCTATGGGTCTCTGAAATAAGGCCAATAAATGACCTTGTATAGCTGAGCCGGAGGTGATTTGTGGGCGTGATTCCCACATACCTAACTTTTGGCCATTTAATTTCTTGGTAAACTTGGTCCCAGGTTGTTGGGGTTCATCCAAAGGCACAGCAGCAACTTTGGGGTGTCAGGAAGCCTGAAGGCACCATCAGGCTGCTGATGCACTCTCCCCGCAGATACAGGTTGACTTGTTGGTGGCAGCACAGCCCTGAGCTAACTCTTGTCTCCGGAGCATCCTCTACACCTGTTACTTTATTCATGCCTCCTCCTTTTAGTTGTCCCTTTCCAGAACTCTGTTACTTTAACTTTTACTTCTATATACACCATTATGAGTGGCAAAAATCGAAGATACTTTCTAGATTATATCTTTTATCCGTTTTATATCTAATACGTATCAGCATGAATATTTTCTTTATAATAATGGTTCCTACTATACTTTTATGCACAGACCTTTTTTGGAAATGTGGTGAAAATTCTGGCCCTTATAGAATAATGGATAAGCACCTATGCAAAATCTTGAATACTTGAATATAGTTTTAGAAGGTTCACAGACATCCTGAATCTGTCTGTTGACCTAGTTTATGGATTTCAGTTTAAGAGACCCTGTTTTATTAAAAGAGACTTATTACACAAAAATCAAAAAGTACAAAACCATAAAAGAATAAAACGTACTACATTCAACTGCATTAAATTTAAGAATGTCATTGGTGGGACGGAGCAATAGTACAGTGGGGAAGGCGTTTGCCTTGCATGTAGCTGAACGAGTTTCAATCCCCATCACCCCAGAGTCCCCCAAGCTCAACCAGGAGTGATCCCTGAGCACAGAGCCAGGAGTAAGCCCTGAGCACCACTGGATATGCCCCCCCCCCAAAAAAAAAGTCACTGGGGGGCGGAGGAGGGAGAGATCCACACATCCAGGGGATCACTCCTGGTGGGGTTTGGGGAACTGTATGAGGTGCTGAGGATTGAACCTGGGTCACCCATATCCAAGGCAAGTACCATAACCTCCGTATTCTCTAGCCCAAGAATGTCTATTATTATGCCTTAAGTTAAAAATAAGCTTTCTAGTTGGAAGAATATTTGTAATACATACCTCTGACAAGGGCTAGAGTGATAGCACAGTGGGTAGGGCATTTGCCTTGCACGCAGCCAACATGGCCGACCCGAGTTTGATTCCTCCGCCCCTCTCGAAGAGACCTGCACGCTACCGAGAGTATCTCACCCGCACGGCAAAGCCTGGCAAGCTCCCCGTGGTGTATTCGATATGCCAAACATAGTAACAATTGTCACAATGGAGACGTTACTGGGCCCGCCCGAGCAAATTGATGAACAACTGGGGGGCAGTGACAGTGACAGTGACCTCTGACAAAGGATTACTCTCCATAACACATCAAATTGCCTAAGAAAAGTGAAGTCAAACAGATTTCCGGCAGAAGTGGAAACCAGGATGGCAAATAAGCTTAAGAAAAAGAAAATTTAAATCCCAGTGAATTCTGACTTTCATACGTCTTTCACACATGAGGATGGCAGAAATTCAAAAGGTGAACTATATTGGCAAAGATGTAGAGCAGTGTACACACTTGTATACTGCATTAGGCATGTATATTGGTACCATTTCTGGAAAATAATGTTACTATCTAGTGAAGTTGAAGGTATGTATAGCTTGTGACTTAAAATTCTACTGTATGTCCTCTATTCTAGACAAAACTTTCATCTGCTGTCAGAGACATGTACAAAATGTTCATTGTGTTGCCCAGATATTTATCAATACCAGAATGGATGGGCTGGCAAGATATTGTATTGGCTGAGCACATACTTTGTATACAGGAGGCCTAGGTTCAATCCCTACCATCACATATGGTCCTCTACCCAGAGGACCAGAGTGATGTCCAGCCCCACCATGGAATAATAGAATGGATTAAAATTGTCATATGCAACACAGTGTCGGTAAAACAACAATGACATGGATAAAAACTCAAAAACCAGTATACAAAGTTGACTTTATTTTTTTTTTTTTTTAAAAAAACATTTGCCTTATTTTTTATTTATTTAGTTTTTTTGGGCCATACTGGGCGATGCTCAGGGGTTCCTCCTGGCTTCTGTACTCAGGAGTTATTCCTGGTGGTGCTCAGGGAACCATATAGGATGCCGGGGACTGAATCCGGGTCAGATGCATGCAAGGCAAATGCCCTACCTGCTGTATTATCATTCTGGCCCCCACAAAGTTGACTTTCAGGGATATTTACTAGGATAAAAATAAGTTGCTGAAGAAATGGTTTAAGTTCAGAACTTGCAAAACTAAGCAGAGCTTGCAAGCTTGTGCACTCTTTAAGTGTCCCAAGATGTTGGCTGCTCCTCCCCCTGCTGTGGTTGTTTCATGTCAATAGGTATTTCATAAACATTTTGAACCTGTGCTGTATATATATATATATAAATTTTATTGAATCACCGTGAAATAGTTACAAGCTTTCATGTTTGGGTTACAATCACACAATGATCAGATCAAACACCCATCCCTCCACCAGTGCACATTCCCCACCACTAATATCCCTGGTATACCACTCCTTTCCCATCCTCCCCCTCCCTCCATCGCAGACATGATTCCCCATAATCTCTTCTCTACTTTTGGGCATTATGGTTTGCAGTACAAACCCTGAGAGGTTATCATGTTTGTTCCTTTATCTACTTTCTGCACACATCTCCCATCCCGACTGATTCCTCCAGCCATCTTTTTCTTAGTGATCCCTTCTCTATTCCAGCTGCCTTCTCCCCTTTGCTCATGAGGCAGACTTCCAGCTATGGAGCATTCTATCTGTCCCGTGTATCTACTATCCTTAGGTGTCAGCCTCATGTTATGTTGTTTTATACTCCACAAATGAGTGCAATCCTTCTAAGTCTGTCCCTCTCTTTCTGACTCATTTCACTTAGCATGTTACTCTCCATGTCTGTCCATTAATAAGCAAAGTTCATGACTTCATCTCTCCTGACAGCTGCATAGTATTCCATTGTGTAGATGTACCAAAGTTTCTTTAACCAGTCATCTGTTCTAGGGCACTGGGGTTGTTTCCAGATTTTGGCTATTGTGAACAGGGCTGCAGTGAACATATAGGTACAGATGTCATTTCTGCAGTGCTTTTTTCATCCTCGGGATATATTCTGAGAAGTGGTATTGCGGGGTCATATGGAAGCTCAATTTCTAGTTTTTGAGGGACTGTCCATATTGTTTTCCAGAAGGGCTGGACTAGTGGGCATTCCCACCAGAACCTGTGCAATATTTAATGAAATCAGTTAAAAGAAAAACTGCTTTGTAAGGTCATTTATAAAAATGTTATTTATTCTATAACTTGAAATACAGGCTATCTTTCTAACTTGATAAGTGCAGATGTTTTATATATCTGTAGCACTATTACAAGACTTAAATGCCTAAAAAAGAATTTATGATAGTAGCAATACTCAGTGGTATATCCATGTTTAATAATAGATTTTAATGGTGATAGCTAGGAAAGTAGACCCCAAGAGTTCTAAAGGTTAAATTGTTCCAGATTGGCAAGTAATTCTGAGGTATGCTAAAATTAAACTTATTTTAATCAAAAGGTAAGTATAGCCTCTGAAAAGAGTGTTTGTAAATTAAAAACAGTCTGCGTTACATGGTGGAGCATGTAATGTTTTTGCCAGCAGCAATTAAGGAAGTTTGAACACTAAGCAATAGGTGTCATGCTAACCAGCATTTGTTTTTTCTTTAGTGAATCACCATGAGATACACAATTATAAAGTTGTTCGTGACTGTTTTTCAGACAGTGTTCCAACACTTGTCCCCAACTTTCTTTTTTTAAGTTTTTTTTTTTTTTTTTGCTTTTTGGGTCACACCCGGCAATGCACAGGGGTTATTCCTGGCTCTGCACTCAGGAATTACTCCTGGCGGCGCTCAGGGGACCATATGGGATGCGGGGAATTGAACTTAGGTTGGCCGCATACAAGGCAAATGCCCTACCCGCTGTGCTATTGCTCCAGCCCCTAAGTTAATGTTTTTTATCTTTTTTTATTCCCTATGCGATGCTGGGGATTGAACCCAAGACCCCATACGTGCAATGCAATTATTCCACCATTGAGATACATCCCCAGCCTATTAAGTACGCTAGGATTTTATATAACATTGGTTAAGTTAATATTCAATACATTATTATTGTGATTACTGACTCCCCACTAAAAAAAAGTAGATAAGCCATTATTAAACATAAGTTTGTCTTCAGAGCATCTGTACTATTTCTACTTAATTAAGCAAGCAGTTTTCTTTGCTGGAGGTAGATAGCTGTAATTTTTTCATGGCATGTGTACTGACTTTCAGGATTATTTTGCTAAAAACATGTTTCTTTCATTGTTTTTTAGGCTTGGCTGAATGAAAAATTTGCCCCTGAGCTTCTGGAAAGCAAATCAGAAATTGTGGAATGTGTCATAGAACAGCTGGAACACATGGTAAGAGTTGCCTTTCTCAAGGACAGGAAAGGAAGAACAGTAGAAGGATTTATCAACTTCGTGTCAAGTTGTGCTGATAGGACATTTTATTTCGCCGAATCAACTTTTTCCCTTGGTTTTCTGTTGTTTTGGGGCCACACCGAGCTGTACCCAGGGTTTACTCCTGGTTCTGTGCTCAGGGATTATCACCAGCAGTGCTGGGAGACCATGTGGGGTGCCAGGGATTGACTTGGGTCAGCTACTTGCATGCATACACTTTACTTGCTGTACATTCTTTCCTGACCTACTTTTTAAATTTTGAAATATTGGATAAGTTATCTACATTTTAAAAGCATGAGAGTTCCTGTGAATATCTGATTGTCAACTTCCCATGAAGTCTAAAAACCTATCATTATTAGCCCTGCATTTCCACATGAGAATAACAGAGAAAAGCATGGTCAGGACCACCCCACTTTTCACTGTGCTCTCCAGTTCCCCCACTATTCTTAACTGCCCACTTCACTCATGTATCGTAATCTTCCTAGGCTTTATAGACATTTGAGGTTGTGACAGTTAGCTGTGATAAGCTGGACTTAAATTATTGTTAGCTTCAGAGTTGCATTAAAATGTTAGTATTTTATGAGGTTTTCTTTTTCACCACATTCCCACCAACGTTGTTTCCAGTCTTTTATATATACCTGTATAAAATTGAATGAACCGGAGGGTTAAAGCGAAATAAAATCAGAGGGAGAAAAACAAATACTGGATGATCTGACAAACACCTGGCCTTGGGTTATAAAACTCAGATGAGGCTAGAGGGACAGTGCAGCATGTAAAGCACTTGCCTTGCAAGCTGCCAACCAGGGTTCAATTCCTGGCAACCACATATGGTCCCCGAAATCCCACCTGGCTCTGCACTTAGGGAGACCCAAGATTGTATTTTCACAAACACTACCAGACGTGGCCCAACAAAACAGAACAAACAGAAATGGTTCTTAATCTTTAAACAATTATTTTTAAATAAACATTATTTTCTCTTTGAATAGGAAGAAAATCTCAGGAGAGCCAAGAGGGAAGATCTGAAGGTCAGCATCCACAGAATGGAAATGGAGAGGATCCGCTATGTCCTTAGCAGCTACTTGCGGTCTCGGCTTATGAAGGTCTGAAATGGAAATACCTGCAGGCATTGAGGCAGTGTAGTCACTAATACAAATTGTGTGTCTTGGGGAGTAGTTAGGCCTTGCGAGGCTCTAGAACCTAAAGATGAATATGAGGACCAATTTTAACGTTGCTAAGGAGTAAGTTCAGAGATTATTCTGGAGAAGCATAGATAAGACATGTATTGCACACCTTCAGGGACATGGCAGTCTTCAGTCTATCTGCTATATAAATGGTGGTGCTGCAGCTGTAGCATGTAATGTTGAGAGCTGAGTTTCAATTGGTTGAATAAAGAATAAATGACTAGCAGAGAATTAGTTTTAAAAGTTTTCATCTTACATTGCAAACCACCATGCCCAAAAAGGGGGAAGGGGGAAGGGGGAAGTGAGAGAGCGAGAAGAAAGGATGAGAGGGAACAACCTGTGGACACTGATGCTAGGAATTGTAAACTGGGAGAGGGATGAGTAATGGATGTATGACAGATCTAATCATGAGCAGCTTTGTAAGAATCTAAGAAAAAGTACTGAACTAAAATAAAATGCTAAAAAATAAAAATAAAAAAATTGAAAGTTTGTATCTTAAAACATTACTGTCAAATAGACCTTGGAACTTGACTCTCAACAGTAGCCATCTAACTTAAAAAATGTAATTGCAGGATGTGTCTCAAAAGTGGTAGGATGCCCTTTAGGTAGGATGCCCCAGGCAAGCACAATCCCAGAACATTGTCCTGTGTTGCTTTGATGGCCTCCCTAGTAGCACCATATATGGGCCCCACAAAAATTTTTTGTTTTTATTTGAGGGCCACACCCTGCATGCTCTGCCTCAGGCTGTGCTCTGGGAACCATATTGGGTGCCAGGGATTAAACCTAGGTCAGTCACATGCAAGACAAGTGACTTACTTCACTATCTCTCTAATTCCTCAAACCTAGACCAGGTGTATACAGGGCAAGTGCCTTACCTGCCATACTTTCTCTTCCTTTGCCCCTCTCACAACAATTTTTAAAAGACAGACAAGAAATTGCATGACATTCTTTATATCTATTTTAACCCTAGAAAATTTGACTTCCTTAAGAAGTGTCTTCTTATGTTTTGCCACTTAGCTCCTTAGTTATTATATAGCAAATGAAGCAAATCTCTTTTATAAGAGAGTGCTTTGGATATCTAGAGTCAGCTCATAAGTCTTTCTGTTAACCCTTCCAACCACATAAATCCCCTGAGCACAGTGGAGAGACCCTAGCAAACCACTCAGGAATAACCACCCCAACCCCTGCCAAGTATGACCCCAAAACAAACCAAAAAAACAATAATTTACTCCTTGTTCTCTACTGAAGACATAGTACAGGGGCTCAAGCACTTGCCTTGCGTGCAGCAAGCCCCAATTTGAAAGCCAGTGCCGTTTATGGCTCACCAAGCACTGCCAAAAGTGATTCCCTAAGCACAGAGCCAAAAGTAAGTTTTGAGCTCAGCTGGTGTGCGACCCTCCCCCCCCGACTCCAAGAAAAAGAGAGAGAGAATGATTTTTTTTTTTTTAATAAAACGGGCCAGAGAGATGCTACAGTGATAGGGTGCTTGCCTTGTACATGACTGCCCTGGGTTTGATCCCCAGCACCACTTATGGTCTTCTACAGCCCACCAGGAGTGATAGCTGAGTGCAAAGCAAAGAGTTAGCCCTGAGCACAGACTGGTCTGCCCCTCCCCTTCAAAAAGATAAAAGAGGTTATAGTTTTCTTAGTATACTTAAATATACCATGTACAATTGAGTATAATATTCCAGTTGGACTTTTGTAAGAAATTAGGATCATTGCTCTCCTTATTCTGTTATTAAGCTGGTAGTGATGCCCACTCAGGATCACATTAGCACACATGTTTGATCACACTAATATCCTATATTCACCATTAACTCGAATCTCATCTGATGTTTTTAAGTCATTATTGCTCTATTGTGCCATATGGCTTTTTATCAAGCATAGGGCTTCCTTAATACATTTTTCCTCTTAAACTTTTACATACTAACTTAAGCTGTTTCCCTGGTCCCTGGATCCTGATATGTCACCAGTGCTTTAGCCATTTCTTTAAACTTTATCATCTAAGATCTTAAATAGTTCTTTAATAGTACTAAGCCAATAATAATCTACCAGAGATTTCCCAATACATTAACATCTCCATTTTGAATCTGTTCTTTGTTTAACAAAAAGTATCAAATAGCTCTAGGTTTTCAGTTTGTAGCACATGGGTGGCATCAGAATATTACCTATTCTGAAAACAGGATTGACCATATGCAAGGTACTAAAATAAATAAAATGCTAAAAAATAAAGATAAATTTAAAAAATTAAAAGTTTGTATCTTAACCCATTATTGTCAAATAGACCATGGAACTTGACCATCTCAACAGTAGCCATCTAGCTTAAAAAATGAAATTGCAGAAATTGTCTCAAAAGTGGTAGGCAATCACCTTACCTACTAAACTATATCTCCAGCCTGTAAACCATCTCTTAAATTATTTTCTTAATAATAAATGCCACAGGGATTGAAGCAGTAGTACAGTGGGTAGGGCGTTTGCCTTGCACGTGGTTGACCTGGATTTGATTCCCAGCATCCTATATGGTCCCCCAAGCACCACCAGGAGTAATTCCTGAGTGCAAAGCCAGGAGTAACCCCTGTGCATCGCCAGGTGTGACCCAAAAGGCAACAAAAAAAAAAAAAAGCCACAACTCATTGTTTAGAGTGCATATATGAGGCCAAAGAAATAGTACAGGGAGTCAGGCATTTGCCTGGCATGCAGCTAGTTGGTTTGATCCTCGCCTCCACATATGTCCCCCAAGCATCACCAAGAATGATCTTTAAGCACAGAGCCAGGAGTAAGTCCTGAGCACTGCCAGATATAATCCCTAAAACAAAACCAAAAAAGAATTAACTTGTCTTGATATTCAGTTCCCCCTCACCTTTATATTTCTACTTGTAGGGACCTTTGAAATAATCAAACTGCACTGACTCCAAACAACAGCCCAATTCCTTCCCAGTTCCTAATCACACATCTTTTGAGACTTAACAGCTTTTTTTTTGTTACCATTTTTTCCAAGCTTCACCTTATTCTGAATTTTATTCTTATAGATGTCACTAATTTGTCACCAAAAATTTTATTCTTAGAATTGTTCTTTTATGTCCATGTATATTCTGATATATTCTGTTTATTCTGATATTTTCTGTTTTTCCAGCGTGTGTGTGTGTGTGTGTGTGTATCATAGATCCTTCTGTATAGTATATAAAAAAGTTACCCCCTTCTTTTCCTCTTAAATAACATTTACAACTATATTTTCAGATTCTTCATAAAAACCTATCATACTTTTAAAATTGTGCCCCACCCCCCCTTTTTAGAGCTCTTCTTGGTTCTTTGAAACCTTTTTTTAAAAAAAGTTTTAGTAAGTCTGTAACTATACCTCATGGTGATTCACTAATAAAAATTTTTTTAAAAAAACAGCTTTAAAGTCTGGAGTAGGGGTTGTCTTATTAGAAAAAGACATCTTGCCATATCTAAAGTCAATTTCTAGATTAACCACAGCTATTTCAGAAAGCTAGTATGTGTACTACTTGAAATCTCAACAGATATTTTTGTGATAATTTTTATTCATCCTCACAGATAGAAAAGTTTTTTCCTCATATCCTTGAAAAGGAGAAAACAAGCCATGAAGGAGACCCTTCTAGCCTTTCTCCTGAAGAGTTTACCTTTGCCAAAGAGTGAGTAAGCAGTAAGTGTGGGACCTGCCTTTCCCAGCCTTATGAGTCTGAGGTTTGGCGTCTGTGTCTATGAACCCTGTCTTAGAGCTATTTCTGTGCTTCTGAGAGCCCTGGGGATTCCTGCCACTCATAATGTTAAAATTATCTGAATTTTTGTATTTTAGGTATATGGCTAACACAGAGACCTATCTAAAGAATGTTGCCTTGAAGCATATGCCACCTAACTTACAGAAAGTTGACCTCTTGAGGTCAGGTAAGTAGAATATTCTCTTTCAGACTTTCTGAGGGCCCATAATTTATACACCAGCTTCATTTTTGTTTTTGTTTTTGTCAGTCAAATATGAAAAAGAAAATAGAAGCGTTCTGAATTAAAATCTAACATGGCCAAGGATAGTCATTTTAGCATTACTTTTGTCCTGAGACCCGGGAATTCATCTCCCACCTAGCCTGTGCCAGGGATCACACCCTATGACAGACAGAAGAGCTAAAACATAATGCTTAGACATTGATTGTCCAGGTGTTGCAGAGAGTTCAGACAGAATGAATAAAACCACAGATACTTATTTTCTTCCAGATCTAGAGTCTAGAAGTCTGTAAGTAAAATGCTAGGAGTGGTTTCCTCTGAAAACTGTCAGCCTGTAGGTAGGCACTCTTTTGATGTCTCTTCATGTAGAGACACTACTTATATTAGGACCCCACTCTCATGGTTTCATTTTAACTTAGTTGCCTCTTCATAGGTCCTCATGTGGCAGGTCTGACAGGTGTGGAAGCCTCCTGCTAAAAGAGAGAATGAATGATAGGACGGGGGAAACTAATGGGTTGGGGGGATGTCAAATTAGATCAGTGATTAAAGATGGAATATTATGAGGATGGCCCTAATTATTTTAATGACTGGTAATCATTTTAATTTCCTGCTTTTCTCCACTCTTCACCCCTATCTTAGCCATCCTGCAAACTTTGAATGAAAAGTACTCCATCCCTCCAGTTAAGATAAAGGGCCAGAGTGATAGTTTAGTGGGTAGGGCACCTGCCTTGGACACAGCCATGCATTTGGCTAACCCAGGTTTAATCCCCAGCACAATGTATGATCCACTGAACATCCAAGAGTGATCCCTTGCTAAAGAGCCAGGAGTAATCTCTGAGCACTGCTAGGCAGTGTTGGGGGGTGGGGAGAGCATGATATATCAAAAGAAAAATGTTTCTGACTTTCTCTGGAATCCTGCCTAGGAGACCTCTCCATCATACCATCTCTTCCCTTTCTGCCTTCTTTCTATTTTCTTAACTAAAACTCCTTCTGAATTCAGCCATTTTGTATCGTCTCCTACTTCTGGTTCTGGAAGACAAGAACCTACATGCACTGTAGTACTATCTCCAGTTATGTTCCCATTCTGAGTACTCAGACTTGGGCTTCAAGGCATGAATTTGTAGGCTACACAATACTAGAACAGTACAAGCAAACCCTACAACAGATTTGTGGAACTCTGACTTGGTCATTTTGGTAAACCTGCTTGATGACCACTAAAAGCCAAGTTCGGCCACATTTGTTTTCACCTTAGAACAGGAAAAGAGCAGAGACCATAATCCCTAATCGTTGCCCAGTGCTGTCATATCCCAGGGAGCTATTGTTGGATATGCGTTTGGAACTGAACCTTAATTCATTGTCTTAGAGCTTCTACTTAGTGTTAGTGGAACCCCTCCTAACAATACTCACCCAACTGTTATCCCTTTAGAAACGGGAACCATACAGGAGACCAGCCTACCCTAGAAAAATTAGTCTTGCTTAGCCCAGATAGCCCCTTTGGGCCTCTAGATCATTATGGAGCACTGTAGAGGATTTGAGATCACAGCTGAGTTTCCTGGAACAAAATAGCTGCCCAGTGGGCCATCTGGCCATGAGAAGCTGGGATCTCTGGCAGGCCCAGAATCCTGGCTCAGCCCTGAGGACTCTGCACAGAACTTTAGAAACCCTTGTCTCCCCCTTCTATAGATGAGTGAACCCAAGGCAATATGCAACTTGTACTGGACTCCTAGAACTGAGAGTTGTCCAGTTGGTTCTTTGTTGCCTGTAATTGATAGAGTGCTCTAGGTACAAATGAAGCTTCTCCCACTAAACTCAACAACCAAGAACTAACACAGAAGGCTCAGCTAGCACCTAATAACTCAGTAAATCCTCGGTGACTTTTGTAATACCGTTGTGAAATACAGTTGTAACAAGCAGTGTAAATATTTTGTGCCTGCTAAGGAGGCAGGCTGGGTAGAGTGGGGAGGTGGGAAGTGGGGGCCACCAGTAGAGGGAAGGGTCACATTGGTGGTGGGATTGGCATTAGAACATTGAATACCTGAAAAACTATTATGAACGGTTTTGTAAATTAATTATGGTATTTTTTAAAAGTTCCAATCCCTTTTTTTAAGAGAGACTAAATAAATAATGAATCTTCTTCAGTAAAAGAAGCGTTCCGGAGGAGCACGGTTTAGGACCCTTGAAATGTTGGCAGTTGGTAGAAGAGGAGGACTTTTTAAAGCTGAAACCAGGCAGTGTGGGCCCACTTAGAAGTTAAAACCTATATTCTTTGGTCTCTAGGTTGGCCCTATATGACTCATTCTTTCTAATACATGTTTGGGGCCATACCCAGCTGTGCTCAAGTTTTACTCCTGGCTCTGCATGCAGGGATGTTGCAGGGAGAACCATATGAACGGTGTGCCCTGCCCTGCATCTCTGACCCCAATACATTTTCTAACTAGATTTGTAACTCTTTCTTCTCAAAAGACCCTGCCATTATCTCTCAGGTTTATTTTTCCTCTTTTATTTTTCTTTTCAAGTCCTACCCTTGCCTCCAAAGCTCTTATCAGCCTCTTTCTCCCTGAATCACTAAGTGAATGTGCCACTAATGCAGCCTTCCTAATGGCACTGTTAATATCTCATCTAGAGAAATTGAGTGTTGAAACTGCTTGTCTCCTCCACAGTAAACAGACTGTCCTGTATATGTTATTTCACCTTTTTTTTTTTTTTAATTTTCCAAGAGGTTCTCAGAGATTCTGAGGCTTCTCCCACCAATTCTTTACCCAGGGACTGGTGGTTCAGTGCAAGGACCCAAGGAGATGATGCTTCTCATACGTCGTGGCGCCCAGAAGCCTCCAGGACTACAGCCGGCAGTTCTGGGGGCTTCTAGAGCTGTATCCAACAATGCTTAGGGAACCATAAGCATTGGTCCCCTGAGCATTGGTGCTGGGGATCAAACCAGGGTTGCCCCTATGCAAGACATATACTTTATCCCCTGTATTTTCCTCAAGCCTCTCCCTCCACCTTTTCAATATTTATCTTTTGTGGAATGGAAATTTTCTATGAGCAAGCTCCGGTGGGTTATGTACTGTTTCTATGAGGAACCAGGTCTCTGCAAATCCGGCTCCTGCCCCCACGTTTAGAATGCTTTTATATTGGGATACCTCAGTGCTCTATATAATTAATCCCAGCAATTTTTATTGCATGGTTCTTGTTAGCTGAGCATTTTCTGACGATTTTTTTTTCCTGGAAGTTCCAAAACCAGATCTAGATTCATATGTCTTTCTGAGAGTGAAAGAACGTCAAGAAAATATACTGGTTGAACCAGAAACAGATGAGCAGAGGTGAGTTATGTGTTTATGTGTGTCTTGACAGTAGGAAATATCTTTTTTCTTTTCTTTTTCCTTTCTTTGCTCCTTCCTTCCTTCCTTTCTTCCTTTCTTTCTTTCTTTCTTTCTTTCTTTCTTTCTTTCTTTCTTTCTTCCTTTCTTTCTGTACAGTGGGAAATAGTCTTCCTAGAGTAGCACCAGCTAAGCTCTGCACATACTGATTTTTTTCCTCATTTTTCAGAGACTACGTGATTGACTTGGAGGAAGGCTCTCAGCACTTAATCCGATATAAAACCATTGCCCCTCTGGTTGCTTCTGGAGCAGTACAGCTAATTTAGAACCAAAAATGAAAAATAAGAATGGAAGATTCAGAAACCTCATATTACTTAGCCTTCTACTTTTCTTCCATTTTGGTCAGCAGAGGGGGCTATTGCTTTATTTTTCTGTGAACTGAGAAGATCTGAGACTTGATTTGTGATATTTTCTGAGCTCAGGAAAATGGGGTAAAGGTAGATTATTATAAAACATTACCATTTATGATTTTATCCCTGAACTGATGATTTTGGGGGTGGGGAGGCCTCAGTAAAGGGTGGGTGTTCATGATGAGAAGATTATAGAGATTAAAGAAACAGCTGTGGTTTTCCCTGATAAATTATTAGACTGAATACATTATTAACCTTTTAGAATTTCTGGTATTAGATTTAGAACCAATTTCTGTCATATGTGACTAAGAATCAGTACAGCATTGTTAAGTTTCATTTCTATGGGCTAAAGCCAGTTTCCATCTATTGCCTGATGAAATACATCCTCCCTGCTGCTAAGCTGCAGCCCCAGAAAGCTTCAGCACGCCAGCCTCTTGGCCATCTGGCCATCTTTATGTGCTCTCTTTATCTATTCTATACTGTCACCTCAGTAGCATCTTTCCTTTTGAAGATTTTCACTTTCTCAAACGAACTGGAAGATACTGACTGTGTGGATTAAGAGTATGCGTGAATCCTGAAGGAGTGTATTTGACAGGGGTTGGATTGTCTTTCCTTGAAGAATGATAAAAATCAATCCGCAATCTATTGTTGTTCTTTCTTGACGAAAAGGCAGTAGATTTCATTTACACGATTAAGCTGTTGGAATAATCAGTTACATTGCTATTTTTAAAAAATCACTAAGTGAATGTATAGAATGTTTTTTTTACCATTTTTATAGTGCTTTATTTTTTTCTAATATATTTTTATCTCCTGTACCATTCATTTTAAACATATGTATTGAGTATACAGTGTTCTAGCACACACAGTGCAAGGCACCATGGCACCAATTGAGCAGCCACTGTTCCTGCTCATATGGTGGGTGACAGTTGTCTTACAGAGAAGTAGCTACATTGGGTGATTTGAGAAGTTCTCATTGAATTTAGTGAATGTCATTAAGTTAGTCTGAGAGTTAAATAATCAGGAGTGAGACAAAAGAGCTTTCTAGGTAAAGTAAACAACTTGTGCAAAATCCCTAAAGCAGAAAAATTCTCTTTATAGTTGGTATTCCTAAAAACACCATGGATAAAACGGAAAGTGGTACAAGCTAACATATGAGAGAGGCAGCCTAACCAGATCACTTAGAGTTCTGTTAGCCAGGGTCCCATTTTCTCTTCACAGCAGTCGTGAGAAGAGACAGGCCTGAACAATATAAAATGCATGGGAAACAGAATAAACAGTTAAGCTAGAAGTCTGAGACCAGACTCAGGTTTCTTTTCTTCTTACCTATTTGCCTGCTTTCTTCATTGCCCTCATTGTGCTAAGTGCTAGGAGAAGAATGTGAAGTCTTATGTTCTTATCTGCAAACAACAGTGCTCCTTTAATAGAAACAGCAATTGCCTAGAGGTCTTATTAAGATACAGATTCTTGTTCCAATCTTGGGGTGGGGCAGAAAATTTTTGCATTCCTGAGTAGCTGAGCTGGGGTCTAGCTTAATCTTTCTATCTTCAGGCACCAGGTCCTGTCCTATGCATGCAAGACTGCACAAAAGTCACTACTAAAGCCAGCCACAGTGTCAAAAGCAACAGGCCAGAGCAGTCAGAGCAATGTGCTCTGTAGTGGTTTTGTTGAGTTGCTTTTTTCAAAACTGGGCCGCGGTTTTGGGGTATGGAAGTGACTGCCAAGGCTTCTGGAGGTACTGGGAGGTGGGAGAGGTAGCCCATCCCAACCCCGAAAGCCTGCAGATTTCAGTCACAAAACCTGCTTACCCAAATTTTCAGCAGATTAACAGCTCAGTGAGGTCTGTCCCAAGACAGTGAAGTCTGCGGGGGAACAGCAGTGATTTGGGATTGTGGGAGCAAGGGGCTGCTGAGAGCTCTCTTTGGGTGGGCCCCAGCAAACCTGCTCCTCTACAATCTGCCCCAGTCTGTTCAGCCTTAATACAGGTTTGAAATTAACTGCAGCTTTTGATCTCTTTTGAGATATATTTATGGGTCTCTGAAGTGAGGCCAGTAAAAGAGCTTACATAGTGGTGCTAGAGTTGTTTCATGGGAGTTATTGATGGTGCTTCCAGGGGTCTAGGGAAATCAGGGAAGGTAGCCCATCCTGACTCCGAGAAAGCCTAGAGATTCCATTTTTTTAAATAGGCTATTTACAATTTAATAGAGGTAGAAGTTTATGGAAAATGGGTAGTAATGCAATACTTATATTTGCTATGCTATGCCAATGATTACTCTGCAGACAATGCAAATTAATTTTGTCCTGTAGAGAATAAGTTCAAATCCTCATTTTAACCTTAACATTTATTAACATTATTTCTATTTTCCCCTTTGAGTAAATGAAATAAAGTTTATTTGTGATGCTCATTGTATATCAGTTCTATATGAATCAATTCTTTCTCCTATGCGGACCTATACACATAAGTTTAATTTTTTTTACATATTTACAAGTTAGGAAGTATTGATATCCTCATTTTATAACTAAGAAAACAGTTCATGGGAACTGGAGTTTCCATGGAGTACAGCGGTAGGGCATTTGCCTTGCAGATAACCAACCTGGATTCAGTACCTGGCATCCAAGCACTTCACTCCTGAGCCAGGAGTCCATCCTAAGCATCGCAAAATGTGACCCAAAGAAGAAAGAAAATTAATATCTGTGAAAGGTATTATATAGAGGAGATGGAATTAAAATCCTAATGAGCCCAGAGCTCCAGAGTCCATCCTCTTTGCTAATGTAAAAGGGAAATGAAGTCTCCAAATGTTCTAGAAAATGATAGCATCACTGGAGTAGTTCAGATATTTAAAAAATACTCCTTTGAAGGAGTAACCACTATTATTCACATAACTTTAGAGGAGATAGCGTTTTTCTTACCAGAATATTTTCTGCTTTAAGCAAATCCTTAGCTACTTACCATCATGCTTCTAACATTTTTTTTCACAGTTCTGTAAGATCACATTAAAAAGTGGTCTTACACAACACTCAAAAGGAGAGAGAGAACACAAGGGATTGCCTGCCACAGAGGCAGGGTGAGATGGGAGGGATGGGGGTGGGAGGGATATTATCCATGGTGGTGGAAAATGGGCACTGGTGGAGGGATGGGTATTTGATCATTGTATAATCGAAACCCAAGCACAAAAAATTGTAAATCTACAACTGTACCTCATGGTGTTTCACTAAAAATAAAAAAAAAAATTAATAAAAAAAAAGTGGTCTTACACTTTTTATTTAATAATAGTCATTAAAAGTCTTAAACTTTATATATAAAAGTGATGACAATCAGTAATATAATTTTATACACTACTAGTCAGTAGTTAATTAGGATTTCATTTAGAAGATCCACTCATTGGATAAATATCCTTTTCATGCTTCTAACATTTTAAGACAAGGAATGCCATTCAAAATTAATTCAGCACCCATTTATTTAAACTTTTCTTCTTGTCCAATTCTACTAGTTTTATGATAATAAGACCACAAATAAATTACTGCTTTTACCCACGGGGAGTTTACAGTGAATCCAGAGAAGATTCCTAAGTATAAATCAGAAAATAAAATGAGATTATTTGGCTCAGAAAAATACAAGTTTTAACAGCAAGGACCAAAAGGGTTGAAAGGTAATGCTTTAAGTAGAAAATTGCACGTAGGGAATATTTAAAGCCTCTTCCGTGAGATTCTTCTTGGGACTCAAAATTATTTATAGGTCAAATGTAAATTTTTGAAAACCTAAAGTTGCTTCTCCTGTTACATCTCTGAATGTGTCATTTTTCTCAAGCATTATTCTTGCCGTTTTACTCTTGCTCTTCAAAAATATCTTGTGGCTACCCAGTGCCTGCATAAAGGGAAAGGAGAGAAGGAATTAATAATCTTTGACTATCTATCCTGATAGTAGGAATATTACTTTCCACAGAATATTACTTTCCACAGATTTAATCCTTATCATAAGAACCTTATGAGGTCAACACTAGTCTCCCTTCCATAGTCTAGTGTTCTGACAAATTTTCCTGTCCATGCTCCTTCCGAGTTTCTGGTCTCCTTTTTATACTTAAAGTGTTACTGTTTTATCTTTATTAAAGTTCAACATAGATTCTCTAAGAAGTTAGGTAAGGTATACATAATTTTATGTTAGTAAAACTGAAACAAAAGATAGGATTTTGGCACACTTGATATCTGACTTGCAGAATCATTAAAATAAATAATGAGAATAGTATTTATTCAGGAATCAATATTTTGTGATCTCCATACATGTTTTTATTTTTATTTGGGGGGCAAGTTGCTTAGGCTACACCTGGAGGTGCTCAGGGCCTATTCCTGGCTCTGTGCTCAGGAGTGACCCCTTATGGTGACCAGGAGACCAGAATGAGGTGCATTAGACATAGGCAAAAGGGATAAATGGAGGTAAGGATGCAGTGTCCTATCACTCTAGCAGATTTTAAAAAGTGAGTCAGCCTGGAGAGATATGGGGTGAAGCACTTGCTTTGCACTGGCTGACCTAAGTTTTATCCTTAGCACACTAGATGGTCTCTCAAACGCCACCTAAAGTAATCCCTGAGCGGTGATTCAGGAGAAACCCTAAGCACAGATGCTGTGGCACAAAAATATATAAAATAAAAAGAGTAGGTCAAGAACATGACAATAAAAATGTTAACAGTCCAAGTATAACTCCATTCAATTTGGAGTAACTATTCAAGGTCATAAATTATGACATGAGCTGTGCATTTAGAGGAAGAAAGTTCCGACTTGAAGCAGCGTATAGTCAAGTGAAGGAGAACACAAATCACAGAATAGCATTATTTTGGCCCTGGTTTCATTAAAGACTCTAGGAGGTCTTCAAAGGCTAGAAGAAACCACTGAAGCTTTCCAGAAGAGGTGGTCCCTGAACTGAAACTTGAAACATGAGCCTTGTCAGCTGGGCCAAGGAGGTAAGAGGGGAAGGCTATTTTGAGACACATAAGATGTGCAAAGGCACAGAAACCATAAGCACATAGAGCGTTCAGGGCACTCGAAGGAGTTGGGCACAGCAAGAGTAGAGGGTAAGAGTAAGAGTTTCCACTTGATTTGAATGTTTTATAAATCACAGGAATCTGGCTTTCTGTGCTAAAAATTTTGAATTTTTCAAAATATAGCTTGGACTTTAATAGTATGGTCTAATTTATAATTGAGAAATCCTTGGGCTAGAGAAATATCTCAATAGGCTGAGCACTTGCCTTTCTTTTTTATTTTTATTTATTTGAACACATGCTTTTCACGTGGGAGATCTGGGTTTGATGACTCACACTACCTTGTAGCCCAGATACTGCTTGGAATGAACCCCAAGTCCAGAATCAGAAGCAGCCCCTGAACACTTTTAGATGTGGCACAAACAAAAATCTGTTTGCATTCAGAAAAATCCCTTTGGTGTCTGTTGAAAATCAGACTACAAAGTTAGCAGTGGTAATGGGGGCTGGAGAAATAGTACAGTGTGCAGAACACTTGCCGTGATTGCATCTGACCTGAGTTTGATATCCAGCACCCATATGGTAAGTCCCACATGGAGTAATCCCTGAGGGAAGAACTAGAAGTAAGCCTGGGAACAGTAGGGTGTTGCCCAAAAACAAAAAGAAACCAATGATAATCCAGGTCAAAAGCAACAATGACCTCATAGTATATAATATAGTGGCAATACCATGCAGTGGAAAGGACTCCTTGTTTTCTATGAGAGTGGACTAGAAGATTTGAGTCAGCGTCTATACAGGAGAAAATTTAAAAATGGAATAAAATATAAATAGAAACTTCTAAAGACTTCAAACTACAGATTAGTTAATTAGGAATTATTGCACGACCAAGAAGAAAACATTAGTCAGGAGAGATCTGACATTTGCCCAGGAGTGGTGACAGTGCTTCTAAAAGATAAATGCAGTGATCTTTAATCTAGGAATTCTATGGATTACTCACTTCAAGGTGTTTAGGAACTTGGTTAAGGAAAAAAAATCTTTTACTCTCCTTTTATTATGACTATGCCACAAACCCAGTAATATTAGTAGAGTGTGACACCAACAAAAGTCAGATATTTTCATAACACATTTAAGCACAGCGGGTAGGGCGTTCGCCTTACAAGCGGCCAACATGGCCGACCCGAGTTCAATTCCTCCGCCCCTCTCGGAGAGCCCGGCAAGCTACCGAGAGTATTCGATATGCCAGACACAGTAACAACAAAGTCTCCAATGGAGACGTTACTGGGCCCGCTCGAGCAAATCGACGATCAACGGGAGGGCCTTTACCTTT